TAAGTTAGGATAACTCATGATTATGATTTGAAGGACATTATATGATATTCTAAAACGGCTAAAGTGTTTAAGGAAGTATAAATGACAGAATAGCTATCTGAACATTGAGTAGCTGATTAAACCATCCTGAGAATGTTGTACTGTTTTATTTGACTAAATGGTGGCTGTTACAAAGACTTCAACTACAAAAGAAGATTTAAGCAGTGGTAACAAAGTTGGATTTGTAAATACACAAAGTATTATACAAGTAAACCAAGACAAAAAAGTCTTTTCCATTTTGATACGAATGTTGCCAAGTGATCTAAGTAACAGCTTCAAAATGCCAAATAATGATTTTGAATTCAAAGTGACCTTTGCTTCTTTCCGTCTTAAAATGAGAAACATTTAGCTTCATATAAAGAGACTATGAAAGTTCAGAACCAATTATTTCACATCAGACTGACAATTGCTTGAAGGATCTTTTAAGATAGATCATTTATTGATGACTGTTAGACAGTAAGAATTTCTGTATACCCAGCTTATAAACGTTTTACTGCTCAAAAAATTTCTGTTGGTAAAACTAGTGAAAACATCCCACATATTCAGAGGCTTTTTTATCAAATGAATGAAAATACTCTAAAGAGATGGAATATGCAAGTAAACTAAGTAGCTTTCAGCTTTTTATAATGTCAAGCACCTACTCAGAAGAATCATAAACCAAAGTGCGTCATTCATTTATAAAGTATACAGAAACTGTTTCTAAATACTAAACGGTACTAGGAAGACAAATGACAGATTGTAACAATGTAGACGGTGAACCGATGGCAAAGGCCTTTCATGGCTCACGAGTCTCTACACAATGCAAAAATACTTTTTCACTTCACATATTGCGTCACACTTTGTACATTACTAGATTTTGAGCATACATAGTAATTCGAATTATGATCATAATTGAAAAAACAAGAGAAACTTACGACTGACAAGGTGTGAGCACTGACGTAAGTGAAGAGCAATCACTAATTTGGGGTTTGCAGTTGATCGATTAAAGTTGTCTATGTCTTTCAAAGAACTTTCACAGTTGATGTTAACAATTTTTATGAATTCAGCTTCTAAATATAGTTCGAAGATCTCCCTAAAACATATATATGGTAAGCAGGAAATTAGATCTTAATTACCTTATGTATAATGCCGTACTCAAGTTCCCTGACCCGAAAGTCTCTTTGCATAGAATTAAGCAATACATAGCTGAAGTGTGCGTAAATAAATTACAGTTTTAAGTTCTGATATATTTTATGACCTAAGAACTAAAACAAAATCGGATGTCCAATTATTCGTAATTTGATAGTGTCAATTAAAGATAACCAACTTAGTTCTCTACATATTTCCTTGACAAAGCATCTGTTGAGGTTTCAATAAAACGTTCAGGGTCAATAATCACGGGATAGTAGAGGTTTTATATATCCTCACAGCCTTAGTTGTATTAGTGTTTCTCATTCTGTTCTTTGGTTTCAAAATGAGACCTCGCTGAAGTAAACTGTTGATAATATTTTAGCAGTTGTTTTACACGAATAGCATATCATTAACGAAAACTTTCCGTGTTTGCGTTTTATTATTTTCGCACCTAAAAGTAGATACGTTGGATAGATGAATAGAATAAAATATTTGTGAAAACAAAAAATAAAAGGTTCATGTGAAACCCAAAAGAATTTAGAAAATGATTGCAAAAGCGTTTATTCGGTTCTCAATCAGTCTACATCCCAAACCTTGCTCAACAGATATTTTGCTCCGTAGTATTTATCTGAATATACTTCTCCAACTATTCGAACCTGTCGTTGTACATAACATTAGAATATGAAGGGCATGTCTGAAAATCTGATTATTCCGTTAATTCAACTAGATTCATGGGTCAAAAACAACTTTTTACTGAACACATAGGCATATTTATAATTCTATTCATTGACTTGGGACCGAAGGACGTTATATGAGTGCGTGTATCGTTAAAATAACATGTTGATGTGTGCACTTGAACTCTGGAACTATAAATTTACAATTGTGGAAAAATTAGGCCGTGGCCCACACTCACCGAATATCCTAGTAATTTACTCGTTACATGTCTAAAGATATCACGGAGATCCAGAGTTTTATAACTAATTTAAACGTAAAATATTGTGTACCAACACAGTCACATGTGAAGTCAGAAATGAAGAAGTTCGAAGTTTTATTTGAAAAGCCATCGATATGTCTAGAAGCGTTTACTTTAAGATTGCTGCCAGTCGCGAGTGGTGCCTGACACGAAATATCCACTCGTTATCTGGAGTGGATGCGTGGCTGTGCGCCTTCAGATAAGATGTTTCCACCAAAACTAATGACGTCAGCATCAATTTCGAAGACATAATGAACTATTTGTTTTCCGGATTAATCGCGGTGACGAATTGTCTTCTTTTCCATAAAAATATGTCTCATTTCCTAGCAAACGACTCCTAAAATGTCCAACAAACCACATCAAACGTCACCGAATTTCAGAATTCGAATACTCGTAACGAGTAAAGAATGTGCTCACAGTCTGAGTGGTTCCGCTGTGAATTGCATTTAAAATACAAGGTAACCTATGTTCTCATAGGTAGAGATACAGTGATTTGAGGCTCGCTTCAAATATCTTAAATTTGAGTCCACAAACTGATTTCATGGCTCATATTAAAGTATGCTTCAGTGATTTATTTCTCTGTTGGAGTGAGGGGGAAAACACTATATTTCCATACTCTAAACGGGGTTAAACTACGTTATTAAAGATTACATCGAAAGTCCTACCGTTGAACTGGGCAAAAATGAGCCTCATGGTCACTAGCACAAACTTTGTTCGGAAGGTATTTTTGCCGCAATTAGCATCAGATTTCAGATCGCACGGTGCCGAAATTCCTAGATCCCATACAACTTCAGATGTATCTGAACATGAATATAGTCTGCAACGTATCTCAGTTGGACTACATTGCAATCCGAAATGTTAAAAGCAAGTCCGTTATTATTCGCTCAACTTTGAATCCGAGCACGATCCTCCTAACATGCCAAATTTTCAGCTCGGTTGTCAGCTTCTCTCCCGAGTTTCAAATCGTCGGCGAAAAGCAACAAACCAGATGACACTTTCCAAAGATAGTCATTTATATGAACTAAGAGAAGAAGAGGTCCTAGTGCTGAACCATAAGATACCCCACAATGACAATCGGTACCCCTGGAACGAATGAAATTTATCCGCTATCTAGATGTAAAGTAAGCCAATCCATTAATTGTGACTTGATACTTAGATGTTTGCGTTTGCTGATGAGACATATATAATCGTGGGTACAAGCTGCTCCATCCCTGTGTTTTGTCATTGTGGAGCAAACAAAATCCCTCCCCCTGGTCCCTAATTGCAGAGAATACCCATGTTTTAGATATTCCTTTTAAATGAATATCATTAGCATTACTTGGTTCACTCACCCTATCCACTTTACTCTGTGAGCTAGCAGTGTTCTGTGTAGCTTGTTTGTACTTTCAGTTCGAAACTTGTGAACTTTCTTGTCCTATTTGTTTGAACAAACCTTATGTGAATGGACAAGTAACCAACCCCCGGTGTTTCCCGTGTTGATCGTCACAGTCAAGTCTACGTTTTTACTTTGTTCCTGATAGTCTGCAGTTGATATAGTCAGTTCCAACTTGCTTTATTCTTGCATTATGTGGTCAGTTCGGATGTATATGGATTCCATTAGGTAACCAGCGTTTCGTTACGAAACCCTGCTACTAAATACTATTCGTATTTAATCATATTAAGTTATACGATTTCAGTTACGATCTTCATGCTTCTGGACTAATATGTAAGAATTTACACATATCCAGATACCATTACATATGATGAGGTCTACGCTTTATTTTGATTGAATGTGTACAACATGAACATAATAAAAAGATAGGTCCCTCCTTCTAAAGTTTTTTTATTGAAAGCGTTACAAGAACAATTTGATAAAGACTCGATTGTATTTACAGGTGGTGCTGAGCGAAAGGATTCACAGGGAAGAATAAATGTTTATTTGTCAGCCTTGACTGAGTGGGATATCTAAATGATTTTCAGTCATGTTTTATCGGAGTGACTGTGTCGGAAAATTTGAAACACAAGAATTCTGCAGGAGTGAATTTACATTCAACCTTGTCAAGTAAAACTAATGTATCCACAAGCTGAATAACGGTCACACTTACGTCTATGTATTCATTTAATTTGTCATATTATGTATTTTTTTTATGTGAAAAACCATATTGTGCTGCGAATTTCGCCCTTGCTGTAATTTTTATTTGAACCTAGTGTTACGCATCAATCACTACGTTCAGAATTTAAAGAAAGATTGAGTAAATGAACTTGTGGTAATGGGAGTTACAGCAAAAAACTAATGTGACGGAGAGTATTTCTTGATATATATATCTGTTGTAGAGAGGCACTCGACAGAAGTTGGAAAACCTTTTAAGTAGTTGGATCCTTGCTGGTGTTTTATGAAACGACTTCCAGTATTAAGTCGGAGTTATGAGCTCTACTGCAATAATTTTGTATTAGAAGCCAGGTAGTATAACTTATCTTGGTTTAACAAATGAAAGTTGAAGACCTAAACACGGCTACACCACCTAACTCCATCACGGTTATACATAAAATAAGTCTAGATATGCTAACTTTCTTGATGTCGAATTTAAGATGCTGTGGGTTGTGAGCAGCTGACAAGAACCAAACGAATTCATATTATTCTGCTTAAATCTTCATCCCTGCAATATTTGGAAATAATTAAATCGATGACCAGTTGTATACCGTATACAAAAGTAACAAATAATAGAAAAATGCTAGAAATTTAGGATTACAAAAGAGCAATAAAAATAAATAACTAAATATAATATTTGAATTATCGTATGAACTAGGAATCCCAGAATTAACGAAACTGAATCAAGAACTACGACACAAGCACAAACGAATGTATTGTATTTGGAATAAGAAATCGAGCACTCAACAAGTACAAAGGTATCATTGGTTCATTCAAACACCACACTAAAGTTGTATACAACAGCGTCAACCTGTTCCAAAAATATCGGGAACATTGTCGTCTTGTACAAAAAACTTCCCTTAACAAAAACAAATGTTGGATAGTATCTTGTTCTCATAACCGATGAGTTCAGTAATTTAAATGCTCGACACGGCAGTTATACATACATATAATCGAGAGCGCCTTGAAATTTATGGAAAATTACTAGATTATAAAGTTATCAAATATTGACGAAATCTTCACTTTGGAGTTGCGGAGATTATTGGATTTCATTGAAACCAACAATGGCAGATGATCGTGCAACATCTTCGATTGGTCTGAGATAGACAATAACGCCGTTGGATGCCGACTCCATGATCTAAAGGTAAAGCGTTCGCGAGGACGAAGGTCTTAGGCTCGAATGCAGAGTGGGGGATCGCAAATGAGCGCTGTTGAGGAGCCCCATACTGGGGTGAAACGGTCGTTTAGTGCTTCCAGGTTTTCAATAATGACGTAACATTAATCGGTTTATGATTCCAATGAAATTATCTAAACCATATGTTTCAGTAGACACTGACAATTTAACTGAGTACTTAACAAATCTAACGAATTTTGACAGTCGTCTTATCACCACTCTGCAATTTAAAGTACTTGGATCAATAAAAAGTAGATTAGATGTTTGATGTCCTACTATTATTTAACAGACTCAATGTAAAACTCAAGTGTTAGGGATATAATTCCGAACGAAAAAAACTAGGATGTGAACAGAGAGTAGGGTTGTGTTACACTAGCCACTTATATTACCGCAACTATGATATTCGAAGGCAAGAAAGTTAGATATCCAAATATCACAAAAACGAAAATCAAATCTCCGAACGTAGTTTTTAAAACCTAATTATTTAATCAAATGGATAAAGCCTTCTATGCATCCTTAGTTATAGGATAATTTCGTGAGATTCAATTATTTTACCACTGTAAGATGATATTGTAATACACAGCGTTTTATATTATAAATAAATTAATTAGTGGATTTGGCACGAAAAGTCAAGAAACAAACCATTAGGTAAAAGAGCCACAGCAGCAATTTAGAGCCTGTGAATAAGAAGTCTACAACACTGTCTCTTAGAAAATAGTCATAAAATGTGTGAAACAGGGTTGGAGGCTACAAGATAATACGAAGATTAGTGATAGAGTCATCAGAAACAAACGACCACAATAAACGTTTCCTTCAAAGCAGATAAACACAACATATATTGGTACATAAATCTGCTCGTATCCAGTACAGTTTCTATCCATAAAGACAAACTTAAAGAGAAAAAGTTAAATTAGCTACAGATTATTATTATTACACAAGAAACGGATAAGAACAATATAAATGCTCATTTTGAAATAAGAAGTTACTTGGAGGAGGTATGAAAAAAACTTATTTATGAGACATAGGAAACAGCGTCGAAAAAAAAATCTCTAAAGCTTTTCTGAGCCTGTTTAAGTAAATAGGAATTCCATTCATGATTTTCAAGATATGAAATAAGACGTTTACATTCGCTGAGGTTAAAATGCAATCTGCTTGAATTATTTGTACTAGTGATGGGAGGAAGACAGTTAACAGATTTCGGTACACTTATAATCCGTATTTTCAAGCTACACAAAGGAAATCTACCCTGATTTATATGTTCAAAGGCATGACGAATACAAAAATGACCAAAATTTTTTGCCCAAGAAGCTGGTGACCTGTAGGTATTTTCTCTGTTTGACGGATGTTTCCTCTTCTGACCAGGATGATAAGCTTCTATTTCCAACGATGGAACTGCTGTAAAACTACGTTGACAGATGCTACATGATACAGAGAGAACACAAAGAGCATCTATGCAATCATTATTTTTTGAAATTGGCATAAACGGTGAATTACAACGAGGTGAAGTAATCCAATGATTCATAATTTTATCTAATGCATGAAAATATTGTTGGCAACCAGGACATATCAGTGGTTCTTGAATTTTTAAAACTCTTACAATCAACACCTTCCCGTAAGTAAAGAGAGACTGGCTTCCAGTGTGTTGTAAGCAATGGTGATATGCACACATAATCTGGAAAAAACGAAAGCAATCAAATTAGAACGTGGTTAAACAGTTGATCAACTAATGTAAAAAATAAATAAATAATAACTAGACAGTAGCCAAACTAATGGAACTCCAGAGGATAACACTTTCCTTAGAAATTATTATTAATACTGAATAGAAAATTTTGGAGTAATCATCTTTTACAGAAATAAATTCAGTTTGCATGTGCATAAATTGTTTCAATACAACCAAAAATGTACTTCACTGTCTTGGAAATAAGACTTTTCAAATTTCCTCAAAGACCTCTTTGTTTTATATGATGCAGTTTAAAAGTAAACACAAAAACAATGCGGTATCTGCGTTCTATCATTTTATGGACAAATAAATTATATGATTAACTCATTCATGCATGAACATTCAATTAGCAGCCCTGCAGTGTTGCTCTACTTAATATATGATGGACCAACAGTAAATTAACAAAATCCAGTTCTCTCACACGATGTTTTAATAACTTTCATACTTATTTTAAGTGTCGATTGAAATATGATTTGGTTGAATATAAATCGTTGGTAATAAAGATTCGAATAGTAACACAAAATATTTAATCAGAAATTATATGGACATTGTAATAACTATTTGAACTACATACAGTCGGGTACCAGTTTACGTGGACCTAGTTGAAAAATTAGCAATCATTAGTAGAGGGATCTAAATTAGATGCTAACTACTTGAATGAAAACAATAAAATTACTTACACAACATACGTCCTATATATTAAGTCGAAAATTAAAAAAAACGTTTACGTAGTTCATAGTGGGTAAAAGATACATTAATATAGCGAATAACGATGATTAACCCATTGCCTTTACGTGACAGAATTTGCTTTTAACACAATGAATTTACTAAAAACATAGAGTGACAATCTATGACTTAAGGCATCGCATTGACTCTATGATAACGAACCGTAATGAATTCTAACTCCTCAATTAATTTTTCACATAATACTTAAGCTAATATCCTTGAGCTATTGTGGTAAAAAAATCCAAATCCAAAATATTCTGGAAGGAATTATTCCATGTATTACTTAACGCAGCCACATGGAAAGTAAGAAGAGGCCTTCAAGCAGACTACTCAAAAGTATGGATGACATATATATGTGAAAATAAAACGTAGAAAATAAGTAAGTAAAAAGGATAGATATAAACACACTAAAGATTACAAGTGAACAATTGGCAACGTCAAATAACAAAAGTATACGTAGAGTTAATTACAAGATGCTTGACCAGAAAAGAATTTGTCTACAAGAAAGTTAGAAGATTTTCATGTAGGCGTTATAAGGAGTTTATACAGCTCATTACAAGCCCATGTCGATAATAATAGAACGTTGTTTCACGAATTCATATGTCAAGTTAGCTGGGTAGAACTAGTGACTATTATGTGACTCATTACGATGGTCTTAGATATTCGTTTTATGAAGACATGCCGGAAATTACTTTGTGTTTTTTATTGTTTATTTAAAAACAAAAGCATTTTGCAGTGAGAAATACTTTGATGAGTTACGTAGGATGAAATAACAACGTTAGGAACAAGTGAAAGGAGATTCATTATATTAGCATAAATATGGGCCATTGAGACAAAATTAAAATGAGAGAAGTGACAGGAGACTCTATTTATTAAACCATTTAGACAACTAGTTCATTTTCTTATTCGTATATTATCTCTATCCTTGACAGGAACTGGTGAGAGGTCGTTTAATCAGACTCCCTTATTTTCCCTATAACTACGCTTTGTAAGGTGGTCCTTAAGCAAAATGTGTGAAATATATGGTGTAAGAGAATCGCACTTACTACTATACAAAAACTAACAGACTAATATAAAGAAGTCGAAACAAGGTCAACGGAATGCAGTAACACTAACTAGAATGTTTCTCAAAGTAAGAGACTTTGCTCAAGATTTTCACGGTAAATGGTAAGTGCGGTTATAATTTTGAAACAAATTAGATGTTGGTAGGTCATTTCTAAGTATCACGTCATATGAATGTAAGTATTTACCACTTGTGGAAAAATGAGATAACTTATCCAAAGAAATTACCTTATCCAAGAATGGTAAATTACAAGTAGGACAGCACACTACTGTATCACCAACATGCCAACCATAGATTCTGTCTGAATTATTAGAGATAACACGTGGCTTTTGCAGCTCACTTGACATGTCATTGCAATCATTTGTATAATAGCAAGGTGAATATTTACTGCATGTCAAATGATTTGTTTGTTCCAAATGTATCTGGGCATCATTCTCTGTTTTACCAATGTAGTCACAATAATCACAAATAAAATAGCATGCTGATATGCACTGATATTGATTAGCTAATTGTATAGAATCTTCAAATAAACAAGCCTTATCAGTGAGCAGCATACAAACACGCCTAAATTCTTTATCAGATATATTATCGACTTTAATTTCAACTTTATGACGTTCAAGTGACTGTTCTACAACTTTAGACTTTACCACTTGGGTTGTGTTTATATTTTTTGTAGTCCGAAGAAACGGAAATACTTCCGGTGCATTATCATGAAATGGATATTCTAGATAATTTCTCATAGTTATATTTGGTGGATATTTGTAATGATAACTTTTGATTGACTTGGCTACAGAATGGTTGGACATCGATACATTCCATTGGTGAATAAACTCAGCACGTGCTCTCATTAGATCAGCTACAGGATAGACAGATATACTTGATGATTCGAGGGTTGAAAGCTTTTTGTATTTCCCACCTGCATCTGAATAGTTCAGAAACAACACCAAAATAATAATCGTAACTTAGTAACCAAATACATGTCGTGTACCTTTTATTCGTTAAACTGATTCTATTTTTTCGAATCATAGTCTATGTTTAATCTTTTCTACTACTATGGGATTTGTCTTGATAACTTCACCTTGCCGTGTTGATACGGTTTAGCAACTTGAACTTACACACAAGTATGTCAGGTTCCGTACTGTGTATGACTGAGTATAGACCATTGTAAACATATTTAAGTCCCTATTTTATAAATAATGTTACTAGGCTACCAAGAGACATATTGAACGAAATTTGAAACTACAACCAAATAGCTGAAAGTTGAATGCTTTAACAACTATGACACCACTATCTTTATGGTAAATGTTGAAATAAAGGATTTTCAAAAGTCAAAAAGTAAGCTTATTATTTATGAGGCTAAATAAACGAACTCTATGAATTTCATGAACCGTAATGTTTTCGCTACGTTTGAAGAGATCACGATACCACCTGAACCGGTGAATGAAACGAGAGTCAGCGACACAAGATAATTTAAACTATTCACTGAGCCCCAGTCCTGCTAACAAGAGGGAGAAGACTAGATTTAGCCAAGGGAAAAGTATATTCCACAAACAGTTGGAAGCACGCACAAACAAACGTATAACTTAAGAGTATAGATACAGTATGAAAATATCCTTGGAAAACGTCACAAAATAGCGTATTAAAGGAGGAAACGAACCAATGATATTTAAGATCCTTTCAAGTGGGAAATACAATCTGAAGGTAAGAGCGAGTGTTTGTGGCGCGAAAATGAGAAATTCGAATTTTCAAAATAAAATTGCAAAAATGAGACGTTTACCAATTAATTTCATGGGATTTAGCATCGTTAACAGTTTTGTCTTTGAGCTTAATGAACTCACAAAAGCATGCCACTTTATTTTCTTAATTAACTTTATGCTGAAAAGAACAGTGAATTCTTCTCGTGATTATTTGTTTTAGAAAAGTAAGAGTAATTTAATTCAGTTTAGGATTTTTTAAAATCATACTGAGGATTTCCACAAGTCACTTGTGACTACACACACTAGAGGTTATAGGGAAATCTTAATGTCGGTTAAAAAATTATAAACTGAATTAAAAAGTTTGGTGGTTGGAGTCGGTTAATATGAAATCCTGAAAAAAGGCTTCGTGCTACTTGACATTCGTCAGCAAGGCGTAATCTCAAAGGAATTTATGCTCCCTACTGGAATTGAACCAGCGTCGCTCTTTACTTTTAGGATTTTATATTTTCCATGCTCTTAAATCTGTTTGATGACTTACTATACGCATTCATGCTAAAGTGCACAACTTGTTGTTCTGACCAATTTCTGAATATAAATATGATAGCACAAAGTTTGAGTATGAAATTACCAAACAAAATTTCATCTGGACGTATACTTATTGTTTCTTGAAGGCGATTATGAATCTCACCTAATTATTTAATAATACTGAAAGATCAATGAAATTATCACTAACATTAAAGATTTAGTTCCAAAGTAAAAGTCTGAAGGATTTGCCTCATCAATAAACAAAACATCAAACAGGATATCTTCACGCTCAGAAGTAAACTTAAATAGTTTTACGAAGACAAATAATGGACAACGTAAGATTTAATATTATATATATATATATATATATATATATATATATATATATATATATATATATATATATCACATTTTAAAATGACCGAATAAACTGAATCTTAACAGATCAGAAAATTAGAGATATGCTAGTTCCAAACAAACCTTTAAAAATACTTTTATGGGCTTGAAAATGAACTAAATAAGAGAGAAACTATAATTAAACCAAAAACGAATAAGTTTGGATGCTTATGAAAAATAAACCTATGAAACTGGAAAATGATGGGATGAGAAATGTTTTAGGTGACGTATTTTTACGAACTTTTTGATATGTTTGAAAAAAGTTTATTTAAATATATTAACCTAACTTTTGCTCAACTTTTCCGATTATGTTACGATTAAAGATATGACTAAAATAAATTGAAGTAGAAGTTGAGTTCGATTTGTGTTTCTGTCTGTTAAAAAACAGTTTGGATCGCCAAAAACCTGAAAAGCGAATTAAACAGTAATCTATTCACTAATCTTTAGTTCTTTCAAATATCCTTTACCGTTTTTTCCTCAGGTAATCCAAATTTGTTGATCGTAATACACTTCTAATGATTTCGTGGTAAATGCTATTCTTGCCAATGTAAACATTTAAAATATTATATTTATTTTAATCAAACAGTTTGCAAACGAGCAAATATAATGATCTGTAAAAGAAACTTAACATGAAACAAAGGGATTAAGAACCAAAGAATTCGATGGTGAATTTGTGGCAATAGTTCTACTACTTAAAGTAGACACATTAGACCTTCTCCATCCCTTTTTTCCAGTCTCATTAAATTCAAAGAACGAAAATTACAATTCTAAATTTATAATACGCGATTATTTTGATTGGTCTACAAAAGTGACAGAATGTAACTTTTAGAGCATTCAGATCGTCGCTGAGATTAGTATTGTATTAGGAGTAAATGCAACACGAATGATAATTATGTCTTACATTATCTTCTAAATCAACAATAATTTGAAACATTTAATCACTAACTATTTAATATTTAAAGATTACATACATAGAGAAATGTAAGATTTAAGAGAAAGAGAACTTACTAAGGAAACGATTATTTGAAGATTTGATGTACTTCATTACTAGAGAAATAGTCCTGAAAATTAAAAACTGAAAGATTCATCTCAATAAAACGTGGTGGAAAACTTGAAAAAAGACAACACATTACCTCCAACATTATTTTGTGAAAAAGGTTAAAAACGGGAAAACCAAATCTTATTTCAAGTGTATTTAGCAAACGTCCTTCTAAAATAGGACTGATTTGCAAAAGCTAGAGAAATATTCACAAAAAAAAATTGTTTTAGCTATCCCAAAATGTTGTAAAGAATCAATGTAAGCACAGAAAAAAAGCGTATACTATGTTATTATCACAAAAAGAACCGGAAAATTCAATATCAGTAAATAAATTATTATCTTTATATCGTACTTCACAACTCCGTAGTAGGATCTACAGAAGACTGAACATAATTTAATATGGGCACTACATATCGACACTGAATTAGGAACACTGAAGTATCTTTTATTCAAACTGGCTAATATAAACTCAATAGTTACACAATTTCAGTTAAACCCACTGCTATATAAAGATAATAAACAGGTTATTTGATCATATTCTGAAGGTTAGTATGAGGTCTTTATCTGAGATGGTGGAAATTTGTAGCTCAGGTGGATGATTTTGGTGGAGTTTTGTTCTCCGGGCTGGATGGATGGACGGTCTTTATCGCTAATATAAACGTAGACATCAAGATTTAAAATATTAATTCAGCTGTTGTGAGCTGTCGATTTCGACCAAAAACCAGTTATTAAAAATAATATGGTGACTTCTGTATAGTAATCAAAGCGTGAGATGCTGAGTGTAGTTGAACCTCCTTCTTGCTAGCTGTTATATCTTTACCAAGACCCTGTTAATAATATGATATACATTAAGATGTTAGAACAGTTCACTTACATTTATTGAGATATAAAAGCGTCAATTCAAAGTTTAGTCTATCTCCTTATTCTCATGCAATACTCATCGTTGCATAAGATCTAGTATAGTCTTAGTTGCACTTCTGGACCGTATAAGAAACCTAACTATGAATTACAACTCTATCAAACTGAATGCTGCTCCTATATGCGATTGGTAGATAAACCGCGTCCTAGTTGTTCAAGTGGCCTACTGTCATTAGTACATCCGGAAATCTATGTCGTAAGATTATTTTGTGAACAGCTGTCACGTTATCAATTCACATAAATTATTGAATAAATGCCACATCTATAAACTCGCCATCATTTCATCACAAAATATTGCAACATCAGGATGAACAGCACATATTTACAAGACTTTTGAAAAGGTAAAACGTGAAAATAATACTATCCATACATTATTTCATTTAAATTCCTGTCATACGATGAGGTTAGGATGAAGACCAAAAATAACGGGGATATATTTTCCGCTAAGTGTTTGCAAATTTTGGTGCTATACGGTTACTAGATAAACTATGAATACCTTTTATCAAAAACGTTTATCTTAGTACTAAAATAAAGCCAAGTTGCACATGTTAGTAATATATGTAAGTAATGATCAAATCCACGCAGAGAAATAATTCATATTGGTCAGTAGTATTCATCTCTCCAAAATCTGTAACTTTTAGTCAGTGCTAACAGAGATAGTGAAAAGAGGTTGCATTCAGTGACTGCAACATTTGTTAAACTTTTCTGTGCTTACAAAGTACTCTGATATTGCATGGAATAAAAACGAATTTCAGAACTTTCCCGAAGAGGAAGAACGTTATTATTTTCGTTATCCTAGACTTAAACAGTATGAGTCTAAACTTATGAATACGTTGTAAATGCAACAAAAGACCGTTACTAAACAAAATACTGGTGTATGACCTGTTTTGTTAAAAATTCATAATGATGACAATAGGTTACATGAAGATAGTAAGTATATTATTGTTGGCTTTATTAATTGATTTAATCTGAAACAGCGTATTTGACATCTATCAAGCAACAGATGATAAGGCGTCAACAAACATTCCTCAGGAAATTTCATTTGCCATTCGTTATTTTCTTGTAGTGATTTCGGGTATCCGTGTTATTTGGTTTACTTTTAGTATAATTATCATTCAAAAAAATTCTGCAACCTAATTGAAATTTAAGATTCTGTTTTATAACTACATTCATAATCAAAAATGACATTTTTCTCTCAAGAAGTGTTTCTAAATTGCTGGACAGTTCTTAAGCAGTGGCATATTAAAGAAAGAAAGCGATATCCAAACAGTGATTAATGTGAGAACACAAACTAATCTTACCCACAGACAAATTTACGGTAGGCTCATTTGTATCCAGAAGTGCAAAACTGTTAACCCGTTATTTCAGTTTCGAGAGAGATGAAAAGCTTGAGGTGCTTAAAAAAACTCAACTTGAATTCAAAGGCTGAAAAATTAACAAAAAGTAGAAACACCACAACAATTACGTCTAGAGCTGTTACATAAAAACAAACCAAAAGTTGAGGTTTCATTACTGCTGAGAAGGTAAATAAGTATATAAAACCAAGACACAAAAATGGGAATAATCGAAAAAATAATCTATAAAAAACATTGTGAAAAGTGTGAATAATAAAAAAGTGAGACATTATGTGAGACAATAGTTTACCGATAACGTTATCATTGCATATATCCAGCGAGCGAAATGAAACAAATCTGTATAAACCGGATGAAGAATAAGTTGTTTACAAACTACGTTGTTAAGAATTAGATACACTATCTCAAGCATTTTACCAACGTTGAACCGGTTGTTGATGACAATTGATCATGGCGCTACAAACAACAACTTCCGACAGAAATATTTCACCAGAAATACAACTAACTTAGAAAAAAATAAAGACACACACCCGTACTCAGAATCATAAAAAACCCTGTTAGTTGTTAATAGTGTCCAATTTACTGTCCTAAAACTTCGGCGTTCTCTAAACAGTTGGGCATTTAGTTACAGTACAATAAAACCAGACTAGACTACACTGTACACAAATATTTAGAAATCGATGATACCAGGTAGGACTAAGGCAAAAAATGGATGTAGGAGTCATTGATTCTTTATACTAATTTCAAACGTTGAGAATATTCCCTCCTTTAAAGCGAATTTCTGTAATAATTCTGTAAAACTCAGGTTGGAAAATTTGATTACATGACAGAATACAAACAAAAGACTGTCTTGACTGCTGATTATTAAATCCCAATAAACTAGAGTATCAGACATGCGAATGACTAATGTATTATCTAGATGTAATCATCCTGTTTCGGTTTGGGCACCCGAGCAGTATCACAGCCCACACACAAATCAAGTGACTTGTGTGGCGCATATGTATTCGGTGCCCCTTTGTACCGATATTTGTCCCAATAATAATAATAATAATAATAATAATAATAATATGTAACCATGAAGCATTCAATATGAATTCACTTAGTTGAAAAAACACGGATCACATACTAAAACCTGAAAGTGTTTCGAGGATATATGCTTAAATATATGAAAGTGCGCTTCAAAAGTGCCGCCGAACAGGATATCTTTCAGACTCATGACGAGTCTTTTTTCTTTATGCACCTTTTGGAAGTTATTTCAATATTTAACGGTGAAGGTGCCACAAGGTAGTGTACTTCCAGACAACATCGGAGTGTGACCTAATAGTATTATTTTTATCTTTCCCGAAATCCCAGATGGAGCTAACCCTCTTCGGTATTTCGGACTGCAAAGAACGACCCATATCTCTTATTACAAAAGCCAATGCCAAAACAAGAACGCCGACGTGACTTACAGCTTATAGTTTTAAACCGGTCCAAGGTCATCAGTCCGGCGTCACCTTGATTGACTATGACCTCAAATGGTTCAAATGGTTGTCGACGGAATAAAAGAAGCTTTCGCTTAATGGCATTCCGTATCTAATAGCAGTGGATCGCAAACCAACCCAAAACAAAACCCTCCTGGCAAAAAAAAAACCCCCAAACATAACTTCGAACCCATTCATTTCTGACTTGTGAATTGATATATAAGAAGCGGTCAAAATCATCTTGTGACAACCATAGACGGATTAGTTTGACTAATGTAGCATCTAAAATACAAATTATCGGGCGCCTGACCGAGATTCGTGAACTGCAAACACGAGAAAATCAGGCTGAATTTAGACCTGGTCGTGGCTGCATCGACCACATATTCGCCATTCATTAGGTTTTAGAACAAACAACCTCGAGTGGTGTCCAACAAGTCTGCCGACTAGCTCCATTTTTGTTCAACTTCACCATGGACTCACTGCTGTAAATAACGTTCTCGTCGACTGAATTTTCGGGTATTGATCTCTTACTAGGCGGTCCACTTAGAATACACAGATGAAAAGGTCTTGTTCGGTGAAGACGCAGATAAAATGCAGTGTCTTTTGGTAGCACTGAGCAAAAATACCAGAATGTTTGGAATGCGTTTCTCCCCCTCTAAAAGCAAATTGTTGCTCCAGGACTGGCCTTCGTCAACACCTGAATTAAGGATAGGGAGTGAAGTAGTCGAACGCGTTGACAACTTCACTTATTTTGGAAGTGTGATCATCCCTAATGAGTTGGTGTTTGACGAAATCTCTTCACAGATTCAGAAAGGTCGTTTGGCTTTTGCCAACTTACGTCACCTATGGCGAAGGGGAGATACTCATCTATCAATTAAGAGACGAGTATACTGCGCGGTAGTTCACTCTTTTCAACTTTACAGATGCGAAATGTGACCATTAAGAGTAGAAGATACTAGTAAGCTAATAGTATTTGACCACAGATGCCAATGGTTGGAGACTCTGGGTGTTATGGCACCGGGTAAGTAAAAGTAATGTTAGACACAGGGAATCAGGGAATGATGGTAAATCAGTTGATGAGGTTGTGAATCTTCATTGACTGAGATAGTTGGACCGTGTTATGTACGCCTGAACACTGATTACCTCGACGTGCAATGCTAACCGGTGTTGGGGATGGTTGGAAGAAAGTTAGTGGCAGCCAATATAAAACGTGGCATCAGTCTTTGAAGTCAGTGTATACACTCTTTTGTTTTAAACTGTGTGATCAAAATTATTTTATTCCTTTCTTTCTATGAACTAATTCTTTCTTCCTGTACTATGTCCTTATATGCAATCTTTCTTTTATATAATACCACCAGTGAATTAACTACTTCTATGAATTCGGTGTTCATCTTGTTGTGCTAATTAGATATGGCAACTTGGACCGATGCATAAATATGTCTGGTCATATGTTGTAGCTGACTGACTGTGATTTGACTGTGTTATTATACTTTGATTAGGGAACTATCAAACGTCAACTTGTGTGGCATATTTAAATCTATTTGATCTGGGAGTTTATTATTCGTCATAGCCTTATTAAATTTCTCAGGCTATTTTATTTTCTACCACTGTAGTTGGCAATAGAATAGTGTGTTCTATTCATAAAAGATTTTACGAAATACCTCAGTATGACATTTTCTCCAGACGACCCAGATCCCTGCGAGATCGTTGTTTTCATTGAGATTGCAGTGAATCTTCGAACTACTGACCGTTGACCCTTCTCTCTATGCCTTAAGAAATAATGGTGTCCGTGTTATGAGATAGTATACACGATGATTTATAATCCTTAAAATTCTTTTCACCCCAACGACATGGTTTCATAAAGGATCATTCTTGTATAACCAACCTGCGGACTGTGATGGATAAATGAAAAAGCATACTGTAGATCACCAACATAGATAATATATGTTGGAATGATTGGAAGCCTACGCGAATCGTGTGACAAACCAGCTAACGTCGAAGTCACACCTCGTGGTCAGCACTTTACGTGAACTACCCCATCGACGTATCAAGGTACCATAGATGCTTTGAAGACTGTACAACACAAAGGACGTTATTACAGAAATATATTAGCTAAAGTAGATAAAACCGAAAGTAAGACCACTGCCGCATGGCCCAGTCGACACGCGAAAATCAGTAGACTCCTTCAAATCTGCCCGCCGTTTCGTTTCAACTACCTTGAACGACCTGACTAGAGGCGGTCATACCGTATTTCAATTACCGCTGGTGGGTTGCGTCGTATGAGTAATAAATTTTTCCATAGTTAAGTCATCTTTCGCTGCATGAAAACGCACAAAATAACTGCTAAGAGCATTGGTTTAGCATTATCCGTTTTGCAGTATACACGTTAGTTCTGTTGTTGCTTTCTAACTTGATCTGTGGTCCAAACTGCTGTAGTAAACGTCAACACCTTTATATTTATTTGTTGTACTTCTTTCAGTTGTTATTTTTCAAGGAATAACTTCTTTCAATAATTAATGAGTGTTGTCTGTAGTGCTTCATGCTCAAGTGAAAGTTCAGTGGAAGTAAGCGAGGCGTTTCAACGTATTATACTGAACAAGCGATTAAGAAGCTGGATTGAATTTGATAGTGCGCTAAAGGATTTTCATAAGGTATCGAAAACACACAACAAAATATTGGGAACGTATGTAAGGCGATTGGTAGCCGCAGAAACATTTGGAAGGTATCCTTGCCGCCATCTGCTACTGGCATATGTTAAAAGATGAACAATTACAGGAAAACTTAATCACCTAATACAATAATAATAATGCATATTATAATATATATTTCAGCATGTGCAGGTACACGTCATTTTTACGGGCATGATCTATAAATTACAATATTTGTTGGTGCACAACATGCTTCCCAACTTATTAAGTTTACAGTTGTCATAAAGTAGACTCGTAGAGCGAAATATAAACTATATAGCTCATCAAATTCTTAGGCGTTGTTGTAGATAGAAGTTAGATAATACTCACAACTTACAAAACAACACAACAATCTCATTACCGAGACGGAGTGAAGAATATATACAAATTCAATGGATCCGAAGAATGTGCAAACAACAAATCACTGAAAAATATGGTGAACCATTCGCGAAACAGGTGGAGAGAAAAGTCTACAATTTTTACTTAAGAATTATTAACAGCTAGACAGCACGTTTGCGATAAAAAGTTATTTGCGGCTTTATTTTCGGCTTCACTATATATACAACTTGTAAACTTATCTTTCGACTTTAGTAATCATGACAAATCAATAAACCTTTTCTCAATTTCTATTTTCGACTTCTTCATACTGTCATGGGGAGGTATACCAATAGTTTTAACGAATAATTGTGTGTGAGAATTAAGAACTTGTACTACTGCACTAGTTTCGAAGTGTCGTTAGAACTTAGCGTTATATCATTATTAATTGCGACGAATCAACGAGTCACGTAGAACAATAATGCGACTTCCACGTAAAACCTTACAGATTAGGCAACCGCCTGACATATTTCCCGATGTCATATTACGTCTATTATCAAAGTAATATCAGTACCGAACTAGACAATTTCATGCAGTTAGTTCCCTGGTAAGATGGCTTACCTAATTCTTAAACCAAACTTCCACTCACACTTATTTGCTAACTTTGTCCCCTTAAATTACGTGAACTCTTCAAATTGTATTCAATTATTTCATTAGTTTGTAATTCGATTATTTATTCATAGTCTCTAGAATCATCGCACAATTTATCTTATCTGCTTCTGAAGTCCATTCGACTATTACACCACCCATCCCTAATGTTCCCTTAAGTCGAACAACAAATAACCTTTGACCTGTTCAAGCATATATATAGTTATTATTGATAACCTAGGTCATTCCAATTCTTTGCTTTCTATTATGTTGGTTGTTTCATACTATTTATTACCTCATTGTTAAATTATAACACATATTTGGTTACATGCAGTTTGCGAGAAAAAAAATATAATGCAGTCACATTATTCTGCATCAATATTTGCTTTGGCTTTATTTAGACTATAATAATACATACTTACTGGATTTATAATTTATTTTTTTGCCCCCCGAATGCCCTGGTACGGCCGAGAGTGGGGAGAGTCCGTTCTCCCTCTCGAAATACTCTCACACGGCTGCGCGTATACAGCCTCTGCCAGGGAAGTTCTACTCATTGTCTTCTAGTGGCGGGGGTATTGTTTACGAAAATGAGAGGACGAAAAGCGAATGTCCGGCGCTTTAACCGGATCCCAAACCAACCAAGGGTGCACATGGGCTCCAGTGTCCTGCGGGAACAAATGGCGTATGAACCAATCGTTGGTCACCGGCTACCATGGGATTGCATCTTCTTACGATGCTCCACTGCTTTGTGGATCGGACCTTCAGGTCGAAGGCTCGGGGAATGGCCCCCCAAGAAAACCACCTGCTTCGGTTTCGGCACCCGGGCAGTATCATAGCCCACACACAAATGATGAACTCTTTGTGTCTATGGAAATTACTTTTGTCGCTTTGAAAAACAATCAATTGATTCAAATTATGATCACTACAATTATTGTCATTATTAATACTAATATTATTATTACTACTATTATTGTCATTATTATTATTATTATTATTATTATTATTTTCCACATTATTCACCCTCTTTTATACTTATACAGCGGCTCGTCTTTGGTGGAATTCCGACTGTATCTAAACGTTCTCGAGTCACTGTCCGGTTGAAAATTGTATGTTACCACCGAATACGAGGACTGAAGCAGATTTTCTGAAACCACGTGCATCATTCAAACTGGCTGCCTTCAACATTTATGCAGGTCGGACAACAGATAGGGCTGGCTATGTCTTTGGAAAGTCTTAATATCGACGTGTGTTGTCTATCCGAGACCCGTATTCAAGACTCTGGCGAAGTACTACAAATTCGATCTCCATCTGTCACTTCGAAAAGCTTGTTTTACGTGCGCTTATCCGGGGACCCTGTGGCATCTTCGTCTGGTCTTGCTGGCGTTGGTGTCGCA